CTGTCGCCAGCCGGGCACGGAGCATTGCCAGGGGCAGAGCCGCCCCGCTGGCAGCAGCCGGGCACAGAACGTCGCCACGGGCAGAACCACACGCCGTCCACCACCACCCAGCCCGACCCTGGCCTGAAGCAGGCGCGCAGCTCCGGCACAGCTCGGCCCTTCGCCTGCTTTGTTGCGAGTGAAGAGCCAGTTTTTCACGGTGTTAATTGTCACTCTCGTTTGTTTTGAACCGAAGCGCTGCAGGTAGATCCAGGCCTGCGTCTGAGCAGGTGTGAACCACAGTCCGATCGCTGTCTTACCAAAGCGACGCGGGCACAGCGCCACGTACCACCATGTCGTATTTTTGCCAAAGCTACGAGTTTGCCAGCCCCGAGACACCCTCTGTGCCCTCCCGCCAGCGGCACTGCAGTGCTAAGAAAACCAAGACAACCTCCAAGACAACCTCCCTGCTCTGAAAAGCAAGGGCTTCCCTTGTTTCCCACCTGCACCTCACCCTGACCGCGCTGCCTCTTCACCACCGTCTGATGCAGCGCCGTTGGGACGAGTGGCGCACGCGGCAGAGCTGCCGGTGCCCGCTCCATGGGAGGCAGGAGCGCCCGGGGCCTGCAGACTTACTTGTTGCTCATCATGAGCACCTCCAGCTCCTTGACATTGTGGACCAGGAACTTCCTGAAGCCCGAGGGCAGCATGTGCTTTGTCTTCTTGTTGCTGCCGTAGCCGGTGTTTGGCATCCGGATCTGACGACCCTTGACCCGCCGGCGCACTCTGTTGTCGATACCTCTTGGTTTACGCCAGTTGCGCTGAAAAAACAGGGAAAATACTGAATGGTGACAAAACGAGATCAGTCTGGGAAGAGCCACCTCCAGGTCGCAGCTCCAGTCTCCACACAGACCCACCACGCCGGGCCGTTACCCTCGGCCCGCTGTCCCAGCACCGACCCTCCGTGCTTTAATGCAACATGTCCGACTGTCCCGGAATTCGTTTTCTCACGCACTTGCAGCGCCTTGTTACCTTGATCTTGACATAGCGATCCGACTGGTGGCGGATGAACTTCTTGGTCCTCTTCTTGACGATCTTGGGTTTCACGAGAGGCCT